TTGCGGGTCGCGATTTTCTTTATCGTTAGACGAGTATACGTCTTTTTAAAAAATCGACCTTATTTAAATGTAAATTTACACTTATCAACAAAGTTTTGGAACCTGGGAATGACTCCGATCCGTATACAACTGATTTTTATGTGTATTACACGTCCAGAAAAAGCTACTTGATGACAAGACTGACTTAAGTCTTCTGTGAGCTTTCTTTAACTACAAACAAGTAATACTTTTTATCAACCTTACTCAAATTTCGTTTTTATCATATTTATACACAAACATTAGTTTGAAATGTGGTAAATAAACTTATAGTCAAACATCTAAACACTTCTCCAAAAAATCAGCTAATTTATTTTTATTTATTGTATTTTAACTGGAATAATATAGAGATATATTTATCGGATTATTTTTACGTACATGTTACTACATTGTTGTAATTGGTGTTTGTTTTAATCGTGTCTCGGAGTTGTATGCAACTATATTTTTCTTTACTTCGTATATTTCGAACTTTATGTTTAGGATATTTATGTTTGTATATCTTTACCGCCAGTCTCTGATTGGTTACTTGTAAATACTTTGTAGTTGTAAAATAAACATGTAAAAAAAAAAAAAATAAAAAAAAAAATAAATAAGTTGTACAAAGAGGATGCTAGCACTAGTTCATCAAATAATGAAAATAGTTGAAGTGAGTCGTGATAATAAAAGCATGGTTCTGACCCGTCAATACCACAACCTGTTGCAAATTTATAAGATAAAAGTATTTTGACACTTGAAAAAAAATTGGATGCGACTATTTGTAATGTCAAACAAGTAGAAAAAGCAGCTCTAAAAACATTAGCATTTTAATAAACCTCACTAAAGAAATCCAACTTTTTGAGGCAAATGGAAAGCGTAGCGAAAGTTAAGAAAGAATATAATCAACATTAATGAACATTAAGCCGACATCAATTGAATCAGAGCTTTATCTGCCCCGGGTTTATTTATGGGAAAACTTTGTTCACGATTAAGTGACAAATCAATTGATTGTTTATGTTTTCTAAAACAATATTTTATTTTAAATGGTAATATAGATAGCGTCCAAAGATAAATTTGTGTCAGAAACCGCTTGTTACTATATTAAAAATTATACCGGAATAACGAGTTACTCACGGGGAATATCGTGGTGCTAAACTTACGAGAAATGAGAAACCCTAGTTTTGAGTAATTTAAGTGAAACAATAAATTTCTAGAACTCATTCAATATATTTTTGATGAGAAATATAATCAGATATTTATACGTAGAGTATTTCCTTTTTGAAAATTATTGTATATTTTTAAAAATATTTCGACATCAACACACACAAAAAAATTAAAATCAAAATGAGATTCACACTTCTTATGGAAGTCATAAGTTAATTGGTTGCTATGGATAGCTAATTTATTAAATTATTTTTGCGTAGCAAAAGTATTGATTGCTATTTCATTACATTTTTACATTTAAAAGGTAATACTTAGCGACAGCTATGGATGTTAATTTCATTTTAAACTGTAATAAATAAATAACATAATAGTAAATAATAACATAATAAATGAATAACATAACAGTAATAAATGAATAACATAACAGTAATAAATGAATAACATAATAATAAATAACATAATTGGCATCACATAAAAATTTTATTTCATTATTTAAATGTACCAAACTTTTTTAAAAAAGCTGAGCTATTTTTTATTCTATTAGTAATATTTTCAGACATGGTGATCACAAAATTGGATATTTACATATTTTTTATGTGAAAATAATATAAGCATTTTTAACTCTAAAGCTCATGAACAACTTTTAAACCATTTAAATTGGAAACTAAAAGCGGAAACGTCTTGTTTCAGCA